ACTAAATGGAAGGAAACTAAAACAGAATAAAAATATCTTTAGGTGATTGTGTCAGGACATTAAACAAGTGCGCGATTGATAGGATGAATTTTATACCTGAAACTCCAGCGCATAACCTGTACGTTTCTGGCGTTTATCCACAGTTGACAACCGATACATTATCCTACGGAGGTCGTGCGGCTGTATTTCTGTGTTTCCACAAGTGAGAGCCTCATGAACAGCCATGTTCACGAAGATGTACTGCTCCTAATCAGTCAAAGCAGTATTCAAATTAGATACCTATTTAGGACGTTGATCTGATGTTTTAGTCATTTTATCTATACTAATATGATAATATTTTCCTAATGATAAAACCGGATCGAAAATATAGTCACTTGTCACAGGTTTAATCTTTATGAGGACTAGTCGTATGCTTACTGTGGTTATGGCTCTGCCCTAGTGTATACTGAAAGAGATAAAATATGGTTGCAGTTATGTTTTAGTGTCCAAAAAAATAGTAAGATGTCTTACAAGGGTTTGCACCATGTATGGTCTGTCGTCTCGTATTGCATGCAGATAACCAGGAATATCCAGAGTTTGCTGTTCAGTTTGGGCTTGTCGAAGCATTGCGTCAATCATTATGTAGGTACCAGTCCTTCCAACACCAGCACTGTCAAATTAAACACATATATAGACAAACATTTACTACTCTTCCCAGTAGACCGAGGTAGTTGCGATTTTTTAATCGCCTTCGTAGCGTCTGTTATGTTATCCGAAAGTATTTTTCAAATCGAACACGTGATGCCAATGTTGTACCACGAGGACAAGTTTTTTACACCACGTGGTCAAAATTCAGTCAAGTTTTAATCACGTGATGTAAAAAACTTGTCCTCGTGGTACAGCATTGGCATCACGTGGTCGATTTGAAATGTACTTGCGGATAACATTACAGACGCTACATACGAAGGCGATTAAAAAATCACAACTACCTCGGTCTACTGGGAAGAGTAGTATGCTATGCCAAACGAGCTTTGAGACTACAGTCATCATGTTTTTGTCATCTTGAAGACCCATGAGCTTTATTTCCGATCATCCAATAGTTTATTTCAATATCGCTTTATGTCAAATTAAAACCAAGAAGTCTAGATGATAGTTAGGTAGAAATGTGAAAGAAATGTGAAAGAGTCATTCATGTGTGACGGATGTGTAAAAATATAGTTTTAATACTCATTTTCTGCTATGATACTAACCTGCAATGGATAGCCATTGGTCTGTTATCGTCAGAAGACATTGCAAGCACCTTTCGCCTGAATGCAAGTGCAGCCGTTGCATGGACAGGAACCCCTTTATCAGGCCAAGCTGTGAAATGGAAATGAAGAACTTTTCGGTTTGGCATGCCGTCCTTGAAAAAAGGTAGAAATGAGGTCATTCTAATAAAAAATCCCTTTTTTTAAATTGAAACTAACACAACTTCATTTTGGTTACCTTCGACACAAAGAAAGTACGGATAGTGAAGTCTGCAAAAACCTCTGTCTTGTGATTGGTGACAATGATGTCTGAATAACGAGCAGAGTTTTTATCAGGCCAGTATTGATGACACTTTCTCTGAAACAAAAACAAAAGCAAAGCAAAGCAAAAACGATGCATTTCAAAAATTCACATGCCTTTTATTGTC